TCATATTGAAAACAGGTTATCTCATCTGATCAAAATCTTGATCTTGAGTTTTGGAAATGAGATCTCTATTCTTTTGCATGCTCAGGAGATACATCCTTACGCAACCTATTGCTTATAAAAAATAACTATAAAAAATTTGATGGAAGAATGCAGCAATTTTGACGGGATAAAGCTGTGAAATCAGGAACTCTCAGCCTCATACTTTTAGTTAAATCTTTAGCGTTTGAATGTTTGGTCACTTCGTCATTATACATAGAGAATAACTTCAGATAAAATATAAAATGAAAATGGCATCTAAATTTACGGCGAAATTGCAATAATAAATAAACAAAAAACCAGAAGTGACTGCATTTTTGATTATGCATTTTATATAAAGACTAGCAATTCAATAATATTTCCTGAAAATAATTATTTGTTCCTTTAACAATTAATTTCCAAATTTTTTATATTTATTCATTGTTTTTAATTTTTTATTATCCCTTTTTTTCCTCATCGATGATACGATGAATACTCTTAATTCTAAGTAACTCAATCGAATCACGATAACTCCAGTGATTCGTATAAAACGCATACTTAAAAATACTTGGTATCAGTGCATAAATATTACAGAGTTATTATTTAAGCGGAAACCAAAATTAAAAATCGACATTTGACGGACTTAACATAGCGCGAGAGATTTAAGAACTAAGAATGGTGACCGGATTGTTTTTCCCCGACAAAAATTTCCCGGAAAAAATTTCTCCGTCAAAATTCCCCCGGAAAAAATTTCCCCTGTCAAAAATTTCTGCGGATAAATTTTTCCCTCAGTGATTTCCCGGTATGTGTAATTACTGAAGGTATGATAAAGTCTCGTGATGAATATGGGGGAAGACGGTCAACGCAATTGTTATTTTTGTTTGGGGAATTTTTTTCCCGGGAAATTTTTTCCGGGAAATTTTTGTCGGGGAAAAACAATCCAGGAACCCTAAGAATGAATCAGAGAACAACACTGATAATAGACGATAGAAGACAGTTAAGGCAATTCTATGATTTGGTTAAAATACTGTGTTGATCAATAAATGAGAGAAAAGTTAAGAATTTTCCACTACGAAAGGATACAAGAAATTCTTTCAACGTAGTAGAAGTGATTCTGAATCAAATATGAAACCAGAAAGAGAGCGATGGATACGGAGAGAAATATTGAGTAAAACTGAGGAAAATCCTTTTTTTACCCGTGAAGCAATGAACTCAGAAAATTTAATTGATACGGTCTGCATTTTTCTTAGATAATTATTTTTTAATTCACGATTTCAAATAAAAATTATAATTAATTTACATAATTTGTATTGAATGTTTCCCTGTTTGGGAAAAGCATATGGGATTCATTGCAACTCCGTATATTTTAGCTACTGAAAAAATCTACAATACTCCTATTCTTACCATTCAATTTTGCTATCAATTCCCCTACTTCGTTTTCACCGATCAAAATCATTAATGCTAGATCTCTAATGCCCAGAGCATTCAGGGTGTTTCTGCGGTTATCACGGAACAATATATACGCAACCATGTCAGAAAATCACCGAGAACATTATACAGCAATCAGACTCGTTTGGAGTATGGGTTACGGCTTTTTATGGCACGGTATTTTGATGTTCGGGAGGCATCGATTTCGATGCCATCGGGAAAACACAATGGGGTGTACTTATCGTACCCCGTTACGATGGCACATTGGTTTTTATGGCTACCCGATGGTACTGTAGTTTCTATAGTGTAGGAGGTACTTCCGATTCTGGGGAAATTAAAAGGAAAGATAAATGGTAATGGAAAACAACGTCACGCTGCGCCTAAAGTTGATGAAAATTTCCAATAAATTAGACGGGGATGAAGAACACGCCTGTAGTAGTGCAAGAACGAGTAGGAACCATTCGACGTGGGATAATCTGATGTAGAATCAGGTTTAGCACGAGTGTGACCAGAATACTCAATAGCTATTGAATAAATAAATAACACAAAGTCGAGCAGGTTTGGACACTGTATCAACAAGCTTACATATTTCATACGCCACCAAAAATCAAACGATTCATAATTAAAATATTTATTTCTCCGGAATTCTACATGAATCCCCTGCAGTCAAAATTGGTAATCATAATTGCTATTCTTTTTAACAAACGACATTTCATTACTCATGGGGAATAAAACCATACTGATACTCCATAAAGAAAGCTTCAAAAAGACTGATGTCTCAGCGACTCCGTAAGAATTTCAAATCATTCCAGAACGATTTTTGAATCCCCGTAGATCCCTTCATTTCCCACCATTTTACATGCATATCCTCACACTATCCCTTCTCATTCGAAAACGTAAAGAGAATGGAAAATCCCGAGCTAAAAGATCAGCTTTTAAAAGCACCAATAAAAGAAAAACGTGAAGAACCTCGCACACGGTGCTACGAATGTATTTTAAAGCTTTTCAGGCGACAGTTGGCACGGTACGTAAACCGGAATGCGATTCATCCCACAAACTCCCCAAAATCATAACCCACGCGAAGCACGTATTGCCAGGGAATTCTCCTCGGTTTCTTATTTCGGTGAAAGCTCGATGAGCCTTCTACGATGTTATGAGCCAGAGAATCTCTAGTCAATTTCATCACTCCTCGCGAGAATGGAAAAGTAAAAATTATCACGATACTAAGAGGACATTATGGCAATGTTGTTGAACGGTTTTTGACTGCATCTACATACATTGCTAGAAGTCGTTAACTATTACCTAATGGTGTAATTAAATAACGTTACCTGGATCAAGTGGTGACAGTTACCGAATGGTTCAGTTGACAAGGTAAGGTTAAGCCAACTGGGTGCGTAGGTATTATTAACCGAGTGACTACTCCCCTTTCCAAATGTAGAGTCCGTAAACTTTGGAGGCTTATATTTTGGCCAAAAAATCGCTATTATACTACTTTCATTCGTACGATCGACTATTAGTCTCTACGAATACGGAGTTTTATTCTTTTTCATGCCATAGTATCTATATATATAATGGCTCACTCATCCAAGTATGGACTGTTTGGATAAAAATTCAATTTTTCCAATAATTAGAGTTGCATTAAATAAACATATCTCACATGACTATCTCCATCAATCGGAATGAGATAAATTGCAATTTATCTAAAATACACTATTTAATACTTTTTTGTTAGCATTTATAAATACGCACGTTCCAGAAAACTATAAATAATTGTCGGAACTTTTCAAGAAAGATATTCGTACTTTAACCGTAACGTTTTGAAATTTTATGACACTTTTCTACCTTGGACCCGGAAAATCCTTTCCACATCTGTCCTCTGCTACCGTCTTCAGGGTTGGCAGAGGCAATACTTGGCCCTTGAGTACAAGTATTATCTGGAATGGAATTAATTCATTCAATTTTGAAAAATTCCAAATATTATAGTTTGTTAATAGCTAACTAGTTATTAACCTTTCTCAGCTGACAATTTAATCACAGAGTATTAACGAGAAATAATAATTAATTTCAATAAATAATTAATCAATCAATTCGTTTAATAGAAAATGAGTAACATACGTTGAAAATTTTGATGGCCTGGAAAGGGTCGGTGTAGTAAATTCTTGTAAAGATAAAAGATGTTCTATTATGTATCTTTATAGAAATTTCGTTGAACTTCGAAAGACATGAATATATTGTTTTTGAACACGACAGTTAAGGCGATTCTTCGGAATCATTTATTTTCGTCATTCAAATTGGTTATTTCTTTGCAGAGATAGCCGGATGAGATTTTTATTTGAAGAAGCACGAATTATTGGAAAACAGAAATTTTTGTCCAACCATACTTGAATGACTGCACCATCCTATAAAAAATTGAAATAATTTTTCTGGAAAAATTGGGCCTCTACACGGAGAGAAAAGTACCGGAAAAATTACGGAACTTTCGCGTATTCGTGGCATGACCTTGCTTTTCGGGAAAAAGTACTGCAGGTACCATAAAATTGTATACAATTATACTATATACTATATACAAGCCTCCAAAGTTTGCGGATGTCACATATGAAAAGAGTAGTATAGTTAGTAGAATGGGTAAAAATACGGTATGTGCTTAAACTAAATGGTGCATTGTGTTAACTGCAATTCGGTAACCATTACCAAATTTTCAGCTGGTTCAAACGTTTCCACGTTTGCGTTAATGTCAACATCAAAAGGAATCAAATGTGGTTAAAATACGGTGATAGAACCTAACACAAAAACTAACAGACAAAATATTTTTCTTTGTAGCTTGCCTCTTTGAATTATAGTGAAAATATCTTTTTTGAAAGAACATCTGATCGCATATTTTATTTTTTGTTCTCTCTTTTCCCCTGAGTAATTTCTGTCAACGGAAAATGAGTTCCGACAAAATGAGCGTAACTCTACGATATTTTTTTTTAAGCAGAGGGGAATCCAGTAGGAAGTGTTTCACTGGACTCGATATTCCTATCCGTTATTATGGAATAGCCTTAATCTAAGTCTCTGCTTACGTATAGATTGCCCGATTTAGTTGTAATCAGTGGATTTCGGGAATTCATTAAGTATATTACTAGACCCTCTTATTCTTTCTAATCTACATGGACTGCAAAATTCGTTTATTTTATATCAGTTGTTGTGCCTTGCGTTACTTATTGTAAGTTCCCGGTTTGAAGGGATAAATCCCTATTTATAACTGCCTCACTTGGTTAGCATAATCGAGTGAGACTGGTAAGTGTTACGCTGACAATATTGCAAGTCTGCATATTCAACAATAACGCAATTGATCAAATCTGGGGCATAAACATATATAAATATAGTCATATACCATATAACATATAGTCTCCAAAAAAAGTTTCCCATAGAAATTCGAAACTAAAATTAGAATTTTTATGCGGATAATTGAATAATTGATTTCACATGAAAGTTCAATGTGACAATATTGCAGTGTGATTGGTCCATTCCATTTCTTTCCAACTAATTCTCTCACCAGGTAAATCTCTTTTCAGATTTTGCGTGGGTGATAGATTTTACCTATGCGAAAACAAAATCCTGTGTGAGTATGATTACGAGGAGCGACTGGTATTTGCAAACATGGCACTCCACCCACCGCCAACGGCAACTCTAGCACACATAAAGCGTCAGGTGACACATCTCCAGCCCCAGGTGAGTCTAGAATAATCCTGCTCGGAAAGGCCTATGTAAACCCCAACGATGATCTCAGCCCCTCCGTGAGGGATTTTCAGGTTGAGTTTTGAGACACTGGCGCGCTTCGAGTTTGAAGTACGTGCTGCCTTGAGACATGGCGAGCCCTCGAGCGAGTGGGGTTAAAGTGACCCCTTCTAAACAACAAAGGACTCAATCCCCCGAGCTTGCGTCGCCTTCAACGTCGTCTTGGATGGGTATCGCGTGTCCTTATTAATTAAGTCGAAAAGAGCCCTCTTGGTATGTTTGGAGATCGCCTTTCCAATCACCTCATCATCCTTCAAACCTCTTTTCTCTCAATTATATGAAATTGTTCCACTATATTAAATGCATTTAAAAAACTGGGCCTAAATGAGACGTTAAATTATCAGATTTCATACGAATGGTTAATTATTGTACATTCATTACTAAAATACAGTTTGTGTAAGTAGATTTAATGATGGAGAGAGAATGGAGTCTCAACGAGTATATTTTATAGAGTGTACTAAGTTCAAGCACATTTTTTCCGTATTAGGGAGACAGAAGCAAAATGAAATATACGGCAAGATAAAATACAGCGAAAAATGCATCGCTCATATGACTTGCGCGATTGGATGGATTTGAACGATATGGCTTCGCAGTAAAGATTTGAAAATATTAATTAAATTAATGCTTAAAATTGAGACTTTAATTCTCCTATTTGAAACCTATCTATTGCGAAAATAGCTTGAAATTGGAGTCAGATCAATTGTTGAAATAATACAGAATTAAACATTTATTTTGCAATCCGAGAATTTAGCAAATACGAACATTGTGTATGTCCACTTTGGTTGGAGCCTTGTCTTGTTAACCTAAAATATTTCTAAATTCGGGTTTCAAATTATGTTGTGGAAACTACTCCAGTGAGGATGTCAGAATGATGATGAAATAGAGCAAAAATTATTGAAGGGCGATAAGTTCGCTGGGAACTAATTAAAAAGACGCAGTTTGCCAGCCACCGCGATAGGGGAAAATTATCCATTCACAGTTAATAACATTATAGAATCAAAATGGACTGCCAAATATTATCGTTGGAAAACTGCGTATTTTTGCAATCCATATCTCCATCTAGCATCCCTCACCGATTTTTTCTCTTTTTTATTATAATTGTTGTTATATCATAGGCGCCGATAAGCACGCGATTCTCAGCTCGCTTTACGCCGTGAGTTTCATTTCTATCGAGGAATATTAAATCTGAACCATCGTATGACGTCCATTTTTTTATCAAAAAGGATATGTCCCAGTACGTACAAAATATTACCCCCACCTCACGAATATCTGACAACTTTTGTGATCACGTTAGGGCTCCTGTAATTGGAGCCTCAATAATTTAATGGCTGCCACCCGGAGACTACCTGAGGTTGCCCACGTCTGTAAGACTTACACACCGGTATTGGGAGAGTTGTGAGAAATCGGTACTGCATGCCTATCAATAAAAAAACTTGAAAATCACTAGGGAAAAATATCATCCGGCCTTTTAGAATGAGGGATACGCATACGCGTAAAAAAGCCTAACTTAGTAAACCGGAAATATACTAATAATTGTTCCACGATCATATTTTTATCTTTTCCTTAAAAAGAAAACATCAGTGCCTTGTCGTATCTTCAACTAATTACACATTCAGAGAAAAAGATGCTTTCAAATGACCCGAGCAAATAAAACGAAGCCGATTGAAAATCCCCGAAAGAATCATAAAAAATAACGTAATATATTTAAATAGATTATCTTAAATTCCCTTCAACGAAACTGATAACATAATCCTACTAAAATGACACTCACGAAAGGGGTGCCGTGAGTCCCCAGCAACCTAACCCCGATCAACTTAATCCCGTCTCCACAAGATCCAGCAATAACCAACCCTGGACTACGCATATTCTGACGACCATGCATCAATGTATTTCGATGCAGTTTTTCCCGAAATGAAAATATTCCAATTACACTAGCCCAGATGCGTGATAGTCGACTATATGCCGAAAACGATTCACCCTGGAATCCCCAGGGGTGAACTTGGTAAAGTTGAAGGGAATTAGACTGGGGCTTTTGCTTCGCTTTCCTCACGAATCGCGTATACGTATGCATAGAATAACGAGAACGATCATATCGGGATAACGTGTACTACTTATAATATGCAAATGCCAAAGTTCTCACTCCCTTTTCGAGGTTGATATTAACAATTTCTCGACGGGAATAGCTCGGCTGCTTCGGTCGGAACAATGTATGTCTTTTTATTCTCGCTTAATTAGTTCGCAAGAATGAGGACTTAATTACCATCGATGAAATAACAGTTCTGGCAACTGATTATAAAAGAAAATGGTGCACTGAGAGAATTGAATAGTAACAATAACCGGGGGTGTAGAAAAGAAAGTTATGCGGCAACATAGTATCAGAGCTTTCAGCAGACCCTAAACAGTCCTCCCCTCTATGGCACGGAAGAAATGCTAATCTGACCCATGGCATACTTTACAAAGACGGATATAATTGTAATCACAAGGTAATGCACAAACAGGTACTATGGAAATACTTGCTATGTGTCTCGTCATAATAGTTACTATATCACGATGATAATGGTTACTACAGCAACATTGTCATGCTTGCTATAATGCGGCCTAATGGTTTCTATGTTAACATGGTAACGGTTACTATGTCCAAAAACATTTTACAATTGATAAGTTCGACATACCTTACAGCCGCTATTTCGATGTTCCATTGTAACCACTGCTATGTGCACAGTAATATTAAACCAAATTTGGCAATATTGGTACTACGAGCGGATTCGGAAAAGAATTTCCGAGATTTCTGAAGAATTCCCACTATTTAATTTTCCATGTGTGGAATATTGTGTTGTGATGTTTTTATTTCTACATTAGTAGACAAATTTGGTTGATGATAGCTGAAAAATTGTATTCAATCTTTTTCCGATCCGGTTATATTGAATGCGTATGGGTTGGCTTTGATTGTGAATATTCTCGATTCAATAACGTAATTTCCTATGCAATTGTAAGAACTATACGGTTTTGTTGACGCAAGCGAGTATATGGAAGTTATCGAATCTCGATTGAGAGAACACAGCATTTAGTTCATTTGGTCTATTCAAAATCATCGGCCATGTCCACTTACATTCAATTCAATTATTATTTTTTTCAGAATAAGGTGACAAAAAAAGATCGATTTATAGTCATATGTTTTGGTGTGATTGTTTTGTGTGAATCAATTGATAAAGGCTATAAGCATGAAGGAAGTGCTTCACGTAGTGCAATTTGATCCTCCTAATTTATATGGCAATTTAATTATTCTTGTGAGGATCGGTAGGATAATATACATAGTCTACTTCTGTTTATATTATTCCAAATCTTGATATATCATGAGAGAACGATCATGTTTTTCAGGTTGATTAATAATTCAGTAACTGTTACCAAGTGGCCATTTCGCTGAACATGGCAACGTTCAACTGAATTAATCGGTAACAATATCGAACTTTGATGACATGAAATGATTTCTGCTATCAGTTTACGAGAAGATGCCTGATTTTTTAATTGATTTAGAACTGAATCAATTTTTTATATCACAAAACAAAGCTCGGTAAAAATATTCTTCATTTGTCACTTTATTCCATCACCGGTTCTTTACCTGACGAGAAGTTGTCAAGGGAAAGTTGCAGCGGTAGAAAATTATGAATGACTTAAGCATATAACGCCACGTCAACAGTTAATACCAATATAATCACGGGTGGGGAAGGTAGAATGCTAATGTCGTTGAAGCATCTATTACGATTAAACCCTCTGACGGATCTCACTCGATGTCAGTAGAGGAAAACCCGTTAAATGTCCCTCACTGACCTATCATTGGAGGCAATCAAAAGATGGACGTTCGATTCATTCCCGGATCTTCATTCTATTCATTAAAAATACACTGGTTCCAATAGTTAATCATTAATTGTGACGTATTGGGATTAACCCATACATCGGATTTCATAGATAGGAAATGATCAATACTTAGAATAATCTCGGATAATGAGAACGATGGAGGTGATCCCTCTTTCATGTCATCCAGACATGGCATCAGCAGTTCCACGGTCGGATAGCAGTCCAGCTGTAGGTATGATGAGATGTTTGACTGACTTGATGTTAGTGATATCAAGACAATAACAATTGAAACTAACCGTAAGACTGCGTAGGTCAACATGTTGAGACTTGCAGAGTGCTTTGACGGAGTTGAGAGGACTAGGGAGAGAATAGAGTATGATCGGGAGATGATTAGAGCGAACCTCTGAGGCCCAGGCCTTGTGTCAAACACGAGAGTCAAGGTTCCAAGGATCGACTACTTCATGACGTGTATACCAACCCAGTGATAAATCATTATCGTGTATTTTAATCCATTTAGTAATTACTATTATTTTACAGATTAATTACGTAAGTGATTAAGTGGAAAGAATTCGTCCCAATACTACACAAATCTCCTACGAGTGAGCGAATCCCCCGTGAGCTCGATGCAGAGGTGGTCAAGGAGTAAGTGTCGGAGGCTAGATACCGAGTAAAAAAGTATCAACAGCTAATTAACATTATTATTTGAATCCCCTGGGTAAAACTTCCAACTTTACATAATACAGAAATAAAAAATTTAATTCGCAAAATTTATCCAATTAGTCAGTTTCTCACTTAAGGCTTCAACCAATTTATTAAATTTTCTTTGACTGAAATTTAAACTGGAAATTTAGACTTGGTTCAAATACAAGATTTCATTCCACCCTTCATGGCTCTACTATTTTAATTCTTCAATTTGTATGTTTTTTTTTTAATTTTAATGAATTAATTCCATCATTTTTATGGACATCGCGAGGTGTCTCCTGACGAAACGTTTGAAGAATTATATTTCGACTCTGAATTTTTCGGCGACCGAACTTTCACATTACTCTCTGATAATTCGGATGGAAAGCAGTTATCTT